CTAGTGGCTATGATCTGGCGCTCTCACCGCCATGACCCGGGTTCGATTCCTGGTGGGAATTGTCATTTCTTCTTCCTTAAATATCCATATATTTCACTATATTTATCTTGCAATTTAATGCTCCGTGCAACTAGCTATAAGGCCTCGTGGCGCAATTGGTAGCACGTCTGACTCCAGATCAGAAGGTTAGGTGTTCAAATCACTTCCGGGTCAAATTCGTTTTGTCATTTCTCAGTTCGTAAAAATTAGAGTCAACCATCTGTAAAAGATTCCTCTAATGCTGGTGTCACCAAGTTCCCACGTGGTCTAGTGGCTATGATCTGGCGCTCTCACCGCCATGACCCGGGTTCGATTCCCGGCGTGGGAATTGTTCATTTCTTCTTCCTTAAATATCGAAATATTTCACTCTATTTATCTGCAATTTAATTCAGTGCCACTAGCTAAGGCCTCGTGGCGCAATTGGTAGCGCGTCTGACTCCAGATCAGAAGGTTAGGTGTTCAAATCACTTCGGGGTCAAATTCGTTTTGTCATTTCTCAGTTGGTAAAAATTAGAGTCAACCAACTGTAAAAGATTCCTCTAATGCTGGTGTCACCAAGTTCCCACGTGGTCTAGTGGCTATGATCTGGCGCTCTCACCGCCATGACCCGGGTTCGATTCCTGGTGTGGAAATTGTCTATTTCTTCTTCCTTAAATATCGAAATATTTCACTATATTTATCTTGCAATTTAATGCTTCGTGCAATTAGCTATAAGGCCTCGTGGCGCAATTGGAAGCGCGTCTGACTCCAGATCAGAAGGTTAGGTGTTCAAATCACTTCGGGGTCAAATTCGTTTTGTCATTTCTCAGGTGGTAAAAATTAGAGTCAACCAACTGTAAAAGATTCCTCTAATGCTGGTGTCACCAAGTTCCCACGTGGTCTAGTGGCTATGATCTGGCGCTCTCACGCATGACCCGGGTTCGATTCCTGGTGTGGAAATTGTCTATTTCTTCTTCCTAAAATATCCATATATTTCACTATATTTATCTTGCAATTTAATGCTCCGTGGAACTAGCTATAAGGCCTCGTGGTGCAATTGGTAGCGCGTCTGACTCCAGATCAGAAGGTTAGGTGTTCAAATCACTTCGGGGTCAAATTCGTTTTGTCATTTCTCAGTTCGTAAAAATTAGAGTCAACCATCTGTAAAAGATTCCTCTAATGCTGGTGTCACCAAGTTCCCACGTGGTCTAGTGGCTATGATCTGGCGCTCTCACCGCCATGACCCGGGTTCGATTCCCGGCGTGGGAATTGTTCATTTCTTCTTCCTTAAATATCGAATTATTTCACTATATTTATCTAGCAATTTAATTCTCAGTGCCGCTAGCTAAGGCCTTTTGGCGCAATTGGTAGCGCGTCTGACTCCAGATCAGAAGGTTAGGTGTTCAAATTACTTGGGGGTCAAATTCGTTTTGTCATTTCTCAGTTGGTAAAAATTAGAGTCAACCATCTGTAAAAGATTCCTCTAATGCTGGTGTCACCAAGTTCCCACGTGGTCTAGTGGCTATGATCTGGCGCTCTCACCGCCATGACCCGGGTTCGATTCCCGGCGTGGGAATTGTTCATTTCTTCTTCCTTAAATATCGAATTATTTCACTATATTTATCTAGCAATTTAATTCCAGTGCCGCTAGCTAAGGCCTCTCGCAATTGGTAGCGCGTCTGACTCCAGATCAGAAGTTAGGTGTTCAAATTACTTGGGGTCAAATTCGTTTTGTCATTTCTCAGTTGGTAAAAATTAGAGTCAACCAACTGTAAAAGATTCCTCTAATGCTGGTGTCACCAAGTTCCCACGTGGTCTAGTGGCTATGATCTGGCGCTCTCACCGCCATGACCCGGGTTCGATTCCTGGTGTGGAAATTGTCATTTCTTCTTCCTTAAATATCCATAATTTCACTATATTTATCTGCAATTTAATGCTCCGTGCACTAGCTAAGGCCTCGTGGCGCAATTGGTAGCGCGTCTGACTCCAGATCAGAAGGTTAGGTGTTCAAATCACTTCGGGGTCAAATTCGTTTTGTCATTTCTCAGTTGGTAAAAAAAGTCAACCAACTGTAAAAGATTCCTCTAATGCTGGTGTCACCAAGTTCCCACGTGGTCTAGTGGCTATGATCTGGCGCTCTCACCGCCATGACCCGGGTTCGATTCCTGGCGTGGAAATTGTCATTTCTTCTTCCTTAAATATCGAATATTTCACTCTATTTATCTTGCAATTTAATTTCAGTGCACTAGCTAAAGGCCTCGTGGCGCAATTGGTAGCGCGTCTGACTCCAGATCAGAAGGTTAGGTGTTCAAATCACTTCGGGGTCAAATTCGTTTTGTCATTTCTCAGTTGGTAAAAATTAGAGTCAACCAAACTGTAAAAGATTCCTCTAATGCTGTGTCACAGTTCCCACGTGGTCTAGTGGCTATGATCTGGCGCTCTCACCGCCATGACCCGGGTTCGATTCCTGGTGGAATTGTCTATTTCTTCTTCCTTAAATATCGAATATTTCACTATATTTATCTTGCAATTTAATGCTCGTGCCTAGCTATAAGGCCTCGTGGCGCAATTGGTAGCGCGTCTGACTCCAGATCAGAAGGTTAGGTGTTCAAATCACTTCGGGGTCAAATTCGTTTTGTCATTTCTCAGTTGGTAAAAATTAGAGTCAACCAACTGTAAAAGATTCCTCTAATGCTGGTGTCACCAAGTTCCCACGTGGTCTAGTGGCTATGATCTGGCGCTCTCACCGCCATGACCCGGGTTCGATTCCCGGTGGAAATTGTCTATTTCTTCTTCCTAAATATCCATATTTCACTATATTTATCTTGCAATTTAATGCTCCGTGGACTAGCTAAGGCCTCGTGGCGCAATTGGTAGCGCGTCTGACTCCAGATCAGAAGGTTAGGTGTTCAAATCACTTCGGGGTCAAATTCGTTTTGTCATTTCTCAGTTGTAAAAATTAGAGTCAACCAACTGTAAAAGATTCCTCTAATGCTGGTGTCACCAAGTTTCCCACGTGGTCTAGTGGCTATGATCTGGCGCTCTCACCGCCATGACCCGGGTTCGATTCCTGGCGTGGGAAATTGTTCATTTCTTCTTCCTTAAATATCGAATATTTCACTATATTTATCTTGCAATTTAATGCTCCGTGCCGCTAGCTAAGGCCTCGTGGCGCAATTGGTAGCGCGTCTGACTCCAGATCAGAAGGTTAGGTGTTCAAATCACTTGGGGTCAAATTCGTTTTGTCATTTCTCAGTTCGGTAAAAATTAGAGTCAACCATCTGTAAAAGATTCCTCTAATGCTGGTGTCACCAAGTTCCCACGTGGTCTAGTGGCTATGATCTGGCGCTCTCACCGCCATGACCCGGGTTCGATTCCCGGCGTGGGAATTGTTCATTTCTTCTTCCTTAAATATCGAATTATTTCACTATATTTATCTAGCAATTTAATTTCAGTGCCGCTAGCTAAGGCCTCGTTCGCAATTGGTAGCGCGTCTGACTCCAGATCAGAAGGTTAGGTGTTCAAATTTCTTGGGTCAAATTCGTTTTGTCATTTCTCAGTTGGTAAAAATTAGAGTCAACCAACTGTAAAAGATTCCTCTAATGCTGGTGTCACCAAGTTCCCACGTGGTCTAGTGGCTATGATCTGGCGCTCTCACCGCCATGACCCGGGTTCGATTCCTGGTGTGGAAATTGTCTATTTCTTCTTCCTTAAATATCGAATATTTCACTATATTTATCTTGCAATTTAATGCTCCGTGCAACTAGCTATAAGGCCTCGTGGCAATTGGTAGCGCGTCTGACTCCAGATCAGAAGGTTAGGTGTTCAAATCACTTCGGGGTCAAATTCGTTTTGTCATTTCTCAGTTGTAAAAATTAGAGTCAACCAACTGTAAAAGATTCCTCTAATGCTGGTGTCACCAAGTTCCCACGTGGTCTAGTGGCTATGATCTGGCGCTCTCACCGCCATGACCCGGGTTCGATTCCTGGCGTGGAATTGTTCATTTCTTCTTCCTTAAATATCGAATATTTCACTATATTTATCTTGCAATTTAATTCTCAGTGCCGCTAGCTAAGGCCTCGTGGCGCAATTGGTAGCGCGTCTGACTCCAGATCAGAAGGTTAGGTGTTCAAATTACTTGGGGTCAAATTCGTTTTGTCATTTCTCAGTTGGTAAAAATTAGAGTCAACCATCTGTAAAAGATTCCTCTAATGCTGGTGTCACCAAGTTCCCACGTGGTCTAGTGGCTATGATCTGGCGCTCTCACCGCCATGACCCGGGTTCGATTCCCGGCGTGGAATTGTTCATTTCTTCTTCCTTAAATATCGAATATTTCACTATATTTATCTAGCAATTTAATTCCAGTGCCGCTAGCTAAGGCCTCTCGCAATTGGTAGCGCGTCTGACTCCAGATCAGAAGTTAGGTGTTCAAATTACTTGGGGTCAAATTCGTTTTGTCATTTCTCAGTTGGTAAAAATTAGAGTCAACCAACTGTAAAAGATTCCTCTAATGCTGGTGTCACCAAGTTCCCACGTGGTCTAGTGGCTATGATCTGGCGCTCTCACCGCCATGACCCGGGTTCGATTCCTGGTGGGAATTGTCTATTTCTTCTTCCTTAAATATCCATATATTTCACTATATTTATCTTGCAATTTAATGCTCCGTGCAACTAGCTATAAGGCCTCGTGGCGCAATTGGTAGCACGTCTGACTCCAGATCAGAAGGTTAGGTGTTCAAATCACTTCGGGGTCAATTCGTTTTGTCATTTCTCAGTTCGTAAAAATTAGAGTCAACCATCTGTAAAAGATTCCTCTAATGCTGGTGTACCAAGTTCCCACGTGGTCTAGTGCTATGATCTGGCGCTCTCACCGCCATGACCCGGGTTCGATTCCCGGCGTGGGAATTGTCATTTCTTCTTCCTTAAATATCGAATATTTCACTATATTTATCTAGCAATTTAATTCTCAGTGCCGCTAGCTAAGGCCTCGTGGCGCAATTGGTAGCGCGTCTGACTCCAGATCAGAAGGTTTAGGTGTTCAAATCACTTCGGGGTCAAATTCGTTTGTCATTTCTCAGTTGGTAAAAAATTAGAGTCAACCAACTGTAAAAGATTCCTCTAATGCTGGTGTCACCAAGTTCCCACGTGGTCTAGTGGCTATGATCTGGCGCTCTCACCGCCATGACCCGGGTTCGATTCCTGGTGGGAAATTGTCTATTTCTTCTTCCTTAAATATCCATATATTTTCACTATATTATCTTGCAATTTAATGCTCCGTGCAACTAGATATAAGGCCCGTGGCGCAATTGGTAGCACGTCTGACTTCCAGATCAGAAGGTTAGGTGTTCAAATCACTTCGGGGTCAAATTCGTTTTGTCATTTCTCAGTTCGTAAAAATTAGAGTCAACCAACTGTAAAAGATTCCTCTAATGCTGGTGTCACCAAGTTCCCACGTGGTCTAGTGGCTATGATCTGGCGCTCTCACCGCCATGACCCGGGTTCGATTCCCTGGTGGGAATTGTCTATTTCTTCTTCCTTAAATATCGAATATTTCACTATATTTATCTGCAATTTAATTCTCAGTGCCGCTAGCTAAGGCCTCGTGGCGCAATTGGTAGCGCGTCTGACTCCAGATCAGAAGGTTAGGTGTTCAAATCACTTCGGGGTCAAATTCGTTTTGTCATTTCTCAGTTGGTAAAAATTAGAGTCAACCAACTGTAAAAGATTCCTCTAATGCTGGTGTCACCAAGTTCCCACGTGGTCTAGTGGCTATGATCTGGCGCTCTCACCGCCATGACCCGGGTTCGATTCCGTGGAATTGTCTATTTCTTCTTCCTTAAATATCGAATATATTTCACTATATTTATCTTGCAATTTAATGCTCCGTGCAACTAGCTATAAGGCCTCGTGGCGCAATTGGTAGCGCGTCTGACTCCAGATCAGAAGGTTAGGTGTTCAAATCACTTCGGGGTCAAATTCGTTTTGTCATTTCTCAGTTGGTAAAAATTAGAGTCAACCACTGTAAAAGATTCCTCTAATGCTGGTGTCACCAAGTTCCCACGTGGTCTAGTGGCTATGATCTGGCGCTCTCACCGCCATGACCCGGGTTCGATTCCCGGCGTGGAATTGTCTTTCTTCTTCCTTAAATATCGAAATAATTTCACTCTATTTATCTGCAATTTAATGCTCGTGCACTAGCTAAGGCCTCGTGGCGCAATTGGTAGCGCGTCTGACTCCAGATCAGAAGGTTAGGTGTTCAAATCACTTCGGGGTCAAATTCGTTTTGTCATTTCTCAGTTGGTAAAAATTAGAGTCAACCAACTGTAAAAGATTCCTCTAATGCTGGTGTCACCAAGTTCCCACGTGGTCTAGTGGCTATGATCTGGCGCTCTCACCGCCATGACCCGGGTTCGATTCCTGGTGGGAAATTGTCTATTTCTTCTTCCTTAAATATCATATATTTCACTATATTTATCTTGCAATTTAATGCTCGTGCAATAGCTATAAGGCCTCGTGGCGCAATTGGTAGCGCGTCTGACTCCAGATCAGAAGGTTAGGTGTTCAAATCACTTCGGGGTCAAATTCGTTTTGTCATTTCTCAGTTGGTAAAATTAGAGTCAACCAACTGTAAAAGATTCCTCTAATGCTGGTGTCACCAAGTTCCCACGTGGTCTAGTGGCTATGATCTGGCGCTCTCACCGCCATGACCCGGGTTCGATTCCTGGTGTGGAAATTGTCTATTTCTTCTTCCTTAAATATCCATATATTTCACTATATTTATCTTGCAATTTAATGCTCCGTGGCTAGCTATAAGGCCTCGTGGCGCAATTGGTAGCGCGTCTGACTCCAGATCAGAAGGTTAGGTGTTCAAATCACTTCGGGGTCAAATTCGTTTTGTCATTTCTCAGTTGGTAAAAATTAGAGTCAACCATCTGTAAAAGATTCCTCTAATGCTGGTGTCACCAAGTTCCACGTGGTCTAGTGGCTATGATCTGGCGCTCTCACCGCCATGACCCGGGTTCGATTCCCGGCGTGGGAATTGTTCATTTCTTCTTCCTTAAATATCGAATTATTTCACTATATTTATCTAGCAATTTAATTCTCAGTGCCGCTAGCTAAGGCCTTGGCGCAATTGGTAGCGCGTCTGACTCCAGATCAGAAGGTTAGGTGTTCAATACTTGGGGTCAAATTCGTTTTGTCATTTCTCAGTTGGTAAAAATTAGAGTCAACCACTGTAAAAGATTCCTCTAATGCTGGTGTCACCAAGTTCCCACGTGGTCTAGTGGCTATGATCTGGCGCTCTCACCGCCATGACCCGGGTTCGATTCCCGGCGTGGGAATTGTTCATTTCTTCTTCCTTAAATATCGAATTATTTCACTATATTTATCTAGCAATTTAATTCTCAGTGCCGCTAGCTAAGGCCTTGGCGCAATTGGTAGCGCGTCTGACTCAGATCAGAAGGTTTAGGTGTTCAAACACTTGGGGTCAAATTCGTTTTGTCATTTCTCAGTTGGTAAAAATTAGAGTCAACCATCTGTAAAAGATTCCTCTAATGCTGGTGTCACCAAGTTCCCACGTGGTCTAGTGGCTATGATCTGGCGCTCTCACCGCCATGACCCGGGTTCGATTCCCGGCGTGGGAATTGTTCATTTCTTCTTCCTTAAATATCGAATATTTCACTATATTTATCTAGCAATTTAATTCTCAGTGCCGCTAGCTAAGGCCTCGTGGCGCAATTGGTAGCGCGTCTGACTCCAGATCAGAAGGTTAGGTGTTCAAATCACTTCGGGGTCAAATTCGTTTTGTCATTTCTCAGTTGGTAAAAATTAGAGTCAACCAACTGTAAAAGATTCCTCTAATGCTGGTGTCACCAAGTTCCCACGTGGTCTAGTGGCTATGATCTGGCGCTCTCACCGCCATGACCCGGGTTCGATTCCTGGTGTGGAAATTGTCTATTTCTTCTTCCTTAAAATATATATTTCACTATATTTATCTTGCAATTTAATGCTCCGTGAACTAGCTATAAGGCCTCGTGGCGCAATTGGTAGCGCGTCTGACTCCAGATCAGAAGGTTAGGTGTTCAAATCACTTCGGGGTCAAATTCGTTTTGTCATTTCTCAGTTCGTAAAAATTAGAGTCAACCATCTGTAAAAGATTCCTCTAATGCTGGTGTCACCAAGTTCCCACGTGGTCTAGTGGCTATGATCTGGCGCTCTCACCGCCATGACCCGGGTTCGATTCCCGGCGTGGGAATTGTCTATTTCTTCTTCCTTAAATATCGAATATTTCACTATATTTATCTAGCAATTTAATTCTCAGTGCCGCTAGCTAAGGCCTCGTGGCGCAATTGGTAGCGCGTCTGACTCCAGATCAGAAGGTTAGGTGTTCAAATCACTTCGGGGTCAAATTCGTTTTGTCATTTCTCAGTTGGTAAAAATTAGAGTCAACCAACTGTAAAAGATTCCTCTAATGCTGGTGTCACCAAGTTCCCACGTGGTCTAGTGGCTATGATCTGGCGCTCTCACCGCCATGACCCGGGTTCGATTCCTGGTGTGGAAATTGTCTATTTCTTCTTCCTTAAATATCCATATATTTCACTATATTTATCTTGCAATTTAATTCTCCGTGCAACTAGCTATAAGGCCTCGTGGCGCAATTGGTAGCGCGTCTGACTCCAGATCAGAAGGTTAGGTGTTCAAATCACTTCGGGGTCAAATTCGTTTTGTCATTTCTCAGTTCGTAAAAATTAGAGTCAACCAACTGTAAAAGATTCCTCTAATGCTGGTGTCACCAAGTTCCCACGTGGTCTAGTGGCTATGATCTGGCGCTCTCACCGCCATGACCCGGGTTCGATTCCCGGCGTGGGAATTGTTATTTCTTCTTCCTTAAATATCGAAATATTTCACTATATTTATCTGCAATTTAATTCAGTGCACTAGCTAAGGCCTCGTGGCGCAATTGGTAGCGCGTCTGACTCCAGATCAGAAGGTTAGGTGTTCAAATCACTTCGGGGTCAAATTCGTTTTGTCATTTCTCAGTTGGTAAAAATTAGAGTCAACCAACTGTAAAAGATTCCTCTAATGCTGGTGTCACCAAGTTCCCACGTGGTCTAGTGGCTATGATCTGGCGCTCTCACCGCCATGACCCGGGTTCGATTCCTGGTGGAATTGTCTATTTCTTCTTCCTTAAATATCCAATATTTCACTATATTTATCTTGCAATTTAATGCTCAGTGCCTAGCTATAGGCCTCGTGGCGCAATTGGTAGCGCGTCTGACTCCAGATCAGAAGGTTAGGTGTTCAAATCACTTCGGGGTCAAATTCGTTTTGTCATTTCTCAGTTCGTAAAAATTAGAGTCAACCATGTAAAAGATTCCTCTAATGCTGGTGTCACCAAGTTCCCACGTGGTCTAGTGGCTATGATCTGGCGCTCTCACCGCCATGACCCGGGTTCGATTCCCGGTGGGAATTGTTCATTTCTTCTTCCTTAAATATCCAATTATTTCACTCTATTTATCTTGCAATTTAATTTCAGTGCACTAGCTAAGGCCTCGTGGCGCAATTGGTAGCGCGTCTGACTCCAGATCAGAAGGTTAGGTGTTCAAATCACTTCGGGGTCAAATTCGTTTTGTCATTTCTCAGTTGTAAAAATTAGAGTCAACCAACTGTAAAAGATTCCTCTAATGCTGGTGTCACCAAGTTCCCACGTGGTCTAGTGGCTATGATCTGGCGCTCTCACCGCCATGACCCGGGTTCGATTCCTGGCGTGGGAATTGTCTATTTCTTCTTCCTTAAATATCCAATATTTCACTATATTTATCTTGCAATTTAATGCTCCGTGCCTAGCTATAAGGCCTCGTGGCGCAATTGGTAGCGCGTCTGACTCCAGATCAGAAGGTTAGGTGTTCAAATCACTTCGGGGTCAATTCGTTTTGTCATTTCTCAGTTCGTAAAAATTAGAGTCAACCATCTGTAAAAGATTCCTCTAATGCTGGTGTCACCAAGTTCCCACGTGGTCTAGTGGCTATGATCTGGCGCTCTCACCGCCATGACCCGG